CTGTATGTATAATACTCTGTAAAGTGCGCACGTATGTGTACCAACGACCTCGACTCGAAGAGACACGCGATCGAGATCGAGAACCGTTCCAAAGCGGCGCGGCTACCTGCGGGAGTTCCTCCGCTATCGATAGAAAGGAAAATAGCACGCCACTCTTGCGGATCGAGATGCAAAGTGCATCGGGTCGTTTCGCATGCCTTTTAGAATCCACGAGGCATCTTTTCGCAAATAAAACGGAAAGTAAGTCGAAAATAAGGATCTCTTATTACCAAAATTAAAAACGTTACCGATTGTTCAAAAAGTTTGCACTGGTTCTTTCTTTTCAATGGCTGGCAAATTCTAATTGCGGAAACTCAATGCGAGAAATATTACCTCAGCCAGGGTTTGCACCTGGACCTCCCTACACTCTAGACGGGCGTCTCAATATATTCCTCAGTGGACGAATTGTTGAGACGCCCGCCTAGAGTATAGAGAGGTCCAAGTTTAAATCCCTGGCTGAGGTAATATTTTTCGCGATGAATTTCTTTAATTAGAATTTGCCGGTCATTGGTCGCCATGCAATTTTTCTACATTGTTTCACAGAAATAATTTATAAGGCTAGGTTTTCCTTCTTAGAAAGACCCGACCCGACCACTTCAATTATCGTTGCCATTAATTGTCCGTCCATCTACGTTTCTTGCTACTTGCGCTGACGGACGCACTCAAGTATACACTCGACGCGATTTTACATCGGCAATAAAACAGCCGCGAGACAAGCGACAGACAGGAAATTTCACTCGGAAAGGTCGTCCCTGAAATTTCTCAGGCTTTTTTCTTCGTTCGCGCGATTCGTTTGCCCCGACGCGATCTCGGTCAGCGTGGGATCATTATTATTCGACAAGGTCGCTGGACACCGACGATTTTCACGTGCACGCAGAAGCGTGGTCGCGCACAGCAGTCAATGGCCGATCGTGTTTAGCCTTCGACTCGCATACAGAAGGTTCGTCGTTGCAGCGGATATCGCACGCGCCGCGATGAATGGCAATTCGGCTCTTCGAGCCGATTCAATGCCGATACACAAATTGTGATCATGTACGCTATAAGTATCTTCCCGTTATCGAATCAATACTTGAAAAAACATGTCCCGCATCTTAACGTTCACGTTTATGAACCAAAATTGTTCGGGCTGGCAAACCAAACGGTGCCAAGGCAGTAATTAAAAAAATTAGCACATTTCATCAACACATGTCAAAGAAATAAACCAAGTTAGAGTTGATACTCGCTTATCGTTGGAAAAAAAATCGACACGGTTGTATTCAAAGGTACTGCTACCAAACTTCATTGCAGATGCAATCGGAGCAAACTGCGCGAGCGAGGATACTATTACGTTAATTGTTTGGAAAGATTACGCAATTTGTTTCTTGCTTTGACGTTCTCACTCCGGTCAGTAAAAATACATCTTGCGGATGGGGTTTCGAAAGATTCCTTATAATTCCGATATTGTATTCTTATTGCAAACGTGGTTTGCAGCGAGGTAGGAATTGAGCCGTGAGTTTAGGCGGGTTTTCGTGGCACTGCGGTTAGCTCTCTTGCGAAAGGACCGAGGTGAAGATTGTATATTCCGCGGCTACATTGACGGCGGCGGAGTAACGATCATGTTCTACATAGTCGGGCTCCTACTCTCCCACCCGGTTGCCTCACCACTCTTGCTGGACGAGTAGACGAGATCTAGCGATTTGAATATTGTTTTACGAACTTTCTGCGGGACGACCCGCGTTCCACCTGGTGCACAATGCAATATTCGAATGTTACGTTCGCCTACGTGGCGAGGAGAGCTTGTTCCGACAATTGAGCTTCGCGTTATGTCACCCCATTCGCGGTGTAATAGCGCGGCAAAAAAGACATTGTTCTCTCGCGTTTCGCGTGCCTGCCTATTCGAGGGGCGCGCACGGGTGCTCTCCTTGCCGAGAGAAAGTCTCGTAGATACACACGTACGTACACATGCACGCGCATACGCGCGTATCGCTCGCTCTTACACGTGTACACGCGTACGCCTACGGAGAATCACTGTTTCTGGTCCGCGTATCCGCGTGTCTAAGTAGCTATTGAAACACTTGACTGAAGAATCTGGTCAATGATTCGCGCGTGATTTGTACTCCACTATCTAGTTAATTATCGCGTATCCACGAAGCGAGAAGATGTATGAAACCTCCATTTTTCCAAGGAAGCTTGCAAACCTATCACGAATGACTTTTGTGTAGAGTTTCGCTTTCACCCGGCTCGAAATTTTGCTACTATTTTGACACTTTTAAGGATAACTTACACCTACTTAGCTGATCTATACACCCACATAAACCAGCAATAGCCTACTTTGATGATATTATATTTTTTTTACTCCTCGAATCTCTCGAATCTTTAATTCTAATCAATTTACTTCAGCTCCGACTTAAAAGAACCTACTTTAATGCTAAATTGGCAAAAGTAGAAATTTCCGACTCCATCAGTTTTT